TCTCTCTCTCTCTCTCTCTCTCTCTCTCTCTCTCTCTCCGTGTTGTCGTTTTACATTCGAAAGTTGGCGACTACCACGCACGTTGCCCTAATTTAGACGCAAATTTTTCCGCAATTATAGCTACCTGGTCAGGATTTGATTGCCAACCGTAAGTTAATTATAATCTAGATTGTAATCTGGTGCGGTCATCCGTATTATATATTATATATTATAGGCCATAACAGTCCCCACTACTCTCTGTTCGTGCTGAATTGTTTTTCTACACTCAAAATCATACGGAATTTGCGGTCAAACTTTGAATTTGTATTTGAATTTTGCACTGAAATCGTCAGAACAATAACTCGGAACCTGTTTTGCATTCATCTTGTTCTTCTGTTCTTGTTCATTCTTCTATGCGTCTCGCTCTACTGCATGCTCCACTCTATTCTGAGCTCAACAAGTTCATCTCTCGGGTCGCGCTAGCTATAGTACTATAGCCGGCGTACAGTTCCCGCAGGCCTTGCGGCAGGTGCGCCTGCGTGCCGCCACTGCTTCACGGATTAGCGATCACTGGCTCTGCTTGGCTTATATTCTGCTGCTGCCCCGCTGCTGCTGCTCGTGCTGCTACTTTCTGTTGGTGCTGCTGCTGCTGCTGCTGCTGGTGGTGGTGGTGTTGGTGGCGGCACGGAGCGGTGCGGTTAATTGACTCGCAGAGCGACGATGTCGTGCGGCGTTCGTTTCGTGTCGCGTCGAATGAAATCGAAGCACCTATCGAGTTGCGGGCTCGGATTTCTAGCAACCGTTTGCGTGCTGCTCGTCTATACGGGGGTTTCGTCTAACGCGCGCAGTAACGTCGTCGACGAGTACCGACAGACGGGCATCGCAGCCTACATAGCGGAGTGCGGCACTCTGCAGACGTTCACGGTGCCACCGCATGAGCAGCAGTTCAGTTACTTCCTCCCGCAGCTGCAGTGTCCAGATCGGCCGTGGATTCTCGCACTGGTCATCTCGTCTGCCGGGGATATGCAGTGCAGATCGGCGGTGCGCGCTACGTGGGCCGCTCCGCCGCAGGTCGATGCGAACGTGAGCGAGCCGCTGCGCGTGCTGCACCTCATAGCCGACGCTCGCAACGCGACGGCCGACAACGAGATCATGTTCGAGAGTTACACGCAGGGCGACGTCGTGCAGGGCAACTTCGCGGACTCCTATCGAAATCTCACGTTGAAATCCATCATGGGTCTGCACGTCGCTTCCAGCGCGTGTCCCCGGCGACCGTCGCTCGTCGTCAAGATAGACTGCGACACGCTACTCAACGTCGAAAAACTTCTGGAGTTCGCGAACGGCGAGAGAGACGAGGACGCCATCTACGGATTCCTTCTCGACAAGGACAGGCCGATACGGCGGCCGAGCAGCAAGAACTACGTGACGAGGAGCGAGTACGACGGAGACGTGTACCCGCCGTTCATCGCCGGCTTCTTCTACGTCATGACGGGAGACGTGCCGGCGCGCCTCTACGCGGAGGCGGCGAGCAGCAAGCGACAACTGCTACATCTCGAAGACGTCTTCGTGACGGGCCTGCTCGCCGAACGCGTCGGCGTGAGGCGGCGCCATCTAGCGGGCGTGATGCGAAGGAAACCCGCTACGTGGGATGAGATGAATTCGGCGGTCGCCATGCACTCTTTAACTCCGAGAGAGATGACGGGCATTCACAAAAAGAAGACGAAGCTTCGGCGACAGGAGAAGCGACATCGCGAACATATGAGGGATCCTAAGTGATCGATCTATGATCTAGAACCTATAGGATCTTAACTTCCATTTAACTTGTCCGTATTGCGTAATTGTGCATCGTATTGCAAATGTACGTGTCGCATGTAAATATAATCATATTTAATCAGCTAGTACCGGAAGCCATTATTTCTCGTGTTTGCACCTATAGTTTTCACTCATCATCACGATAATTTCTTACGCATGAGAACGCACACGCACGCACGTACACACTCACGCACACACTCACGCACGCACGTATCAAACACTCACACGTAAGAACGAACCCGCACGCGCACGCAGATTTTTTCCGCACACTATGCGCGGAATGCACACTTCCGCACATATGCACATAATGCGCGGAACGTTGAGCTGACTTGGAAATATTTGTGTGTTATAATAATTATTAGTAGCAACCTTCGCTGGAATGCATCCATTGATTATATCAGGAGTAAGATAATATAGAATATATCCTATATTATCTTACACCTGATTATATTTGTAACAAAGTGTAAATATTTGTAACTCGTTCTTCGGCATGTTAAGCCGCACCATTAGCTTTGCCGATTCTAAAAGTCGGTTCATGGATTTTAAAACAATGGTTCTCCGCACATTAGAATATGCTTCGCCAGGCTGGCGGCACTATATATACGCTTTAGAACTGTTCTAAATTAGATGCCAACTTAACTAGCCTCCTCTTCTTGCCGCTCTCTCCATAGATTTAAATTTGGGAATTTATTAACGCTTTCAAATATTACATAGTTACATAGCACATACTTGCACATAGAGTATCTCTGTAGGCTTTAAACTTTACACATAAAAATCATAACTTACACAATTTTAGTTACACATTTTAGTTAGCCGCAAATGAAGAGCCTAACCCTTTAAAGTTTAAAGGGTTAGGCTCTTCATTTGCGGCTAACTAAAATGTGTAACTAAAATTGTGTAAGTTATGATTTTTGACCGCATCAGGTAGACTCAATAGCGTTGATTAAACTGTGCACATTTTTACTTCATATTTCCAAGAATATGTAAGTCAGCTTTCTTTGGCTTTGTATTCTCTACTTTCACACTATTGTATTTCATTTTACTGGTTCAAGAATAGAGTCCAGGACAGTGCATGATAGCAATCTGGATAGCATGATGTTTTTGTTTTCAGATTTCGTTGTTGTGCTGTTCGTATAAAATGTTGGTGCTAAGTTCTTGTACCTTGTTCTGGACTGGACTGTGTACGAGAAAATATCATGTAAAAATAATGTACAAAATATGATCAACTTGAAAAAAATTATCCATTTTATCAAGAGTGAATGAACACAAAATTGTTTTTATTCCCTCCTGATTTTATACACACATCTTATAACATAACAAGAAAGATACATTATGAGTTAAATCCTTTAGACTGTTAATTGAAGAAGTAATCCCATTGTGTCAATGCTTAAATTCACGTCAACTATCAAAACCAGTAGAGATCTGCTCATTTTTAATCAAAGTAATATTAATTCCTTGCTGAAAATAGTTTCATCATGGTCCAAAACTGAAAACCAACACACTGGACACATGCAGACAAAACTACCAGCATGACACATAATTTATAAGAACAAGAACAATAATAATTCTTTAGCCACCTACGATAAATTGGCTAACCACAGCTCTTCGGCTATAACCTCAAAAGCTGTTCATCGGTCATGATGACAATGCAGGTCGAACTCTTCCTGTATCAGATGAGACCTGGCGGGGGCGAACTCTTCCTGTATCAGATCATCAGCTCAAAGGACAACATAGCCGATGCTGTGCAGGGCAAGATGAATGCAGCTTGAGGCCGGGGCGGTTACCACCTGGCGGTTACCCCCCGCCAGGTCTCTTCCATACAGCAGCATCTAGCAGCACCTGCTCACCGTCCTCACCCCGCCAGGTCTCTTCCATACAGCAGCATCTAGCAGCACCTGCTCACCGTCCTCACCCCGCCAGGTCTCTTCCATACAGCAGCATCTAGCAGCACCTGCTCACCGTCCTCACTCTGCGCCTGCAGCCGCTCAAAGATCGAGCGCAGCATCCAGCGGAGCTACACCATTGAAGAAGTTAACCTGCGTGTGAAGCATAGGGTCAGATTGACACGGAGGCCCACGACTAGGATGATGACTGTGTTAGTTCATGGGATACTATAGAGCCAGAAACTAAAAAGCTGCAATAATATATGCTTTCATTCAGCACGAATAAACAAGTTTAAGAACTTGCCGTTTTATGAGTGGCTAACTGTGGAAGTGCAAGTGTTGACGTAATCACGGTAAATGATGAATATAAGCAGGATAAGTTCAATACGATATATTGCCAATACACAAAACTTCGGGGGTTTAATACTAAAGCATTTGGTAGTGTACCATATGTTACTACTCTCAGGTTTAACCAAATTTGACCATTTAAGTGTTATTATAGACTAACAATAACAAGACACGATATGAACACAATCACTGACATAAGAGAAACTTGTATTACTAACAATTAGTTCCAGCAAGAATATGCACCTAACAAGAGGTGGCGCCACTGCACAATCGGTAACCAAAAAAAACAATTTACTTTACTTTAATTAATTACTTTTAATAGCCTAAACTATCAGGCAGTTTATATATATATATACCAAACTAATTCAAATTCGAATAATGAAAAAAAGGCAAACTAAAAGACACCAATGAGCATTTGAATTAGTTTGAATTTGTTTGATGGATCTATATCTAGGGTTGCAATGGTAACACAAGCTCCTCGCGCTGCACCCTGGTAACTTGATTGTTGCAATCAAGGCTAAAAGTGTTACCACCTGGTTGGCTTAACTGTCACAGGTTGATGTTAGTAAGGGCATACAATCGTAAAAATCTGCTTCAATAAACTGTGCAATAAAAACTGTGCAATGGCAGCAACCCGCTTAAAAGGAAAGAATTTCAGGATAGGGTCGCTAAATGTGGGCACCCTGAGAGGAAGAGCAAGTGAGGTGGTGGAGACGTTGTCTCGGAGGAAAGTTGACATCTGCTGTCTCCAGGAGACCAGATACCGTGGTGGTCAGTGTCGTATATTCAAAGGAAAGAACACTAAGTACAAGTGCTACTGGTCTGGTAAGGATAAGGGGACTGGTGGCGTCGGTGTGTTGCTGGCGGAGGAATGGATTGGGAATGTGTTTGAGGTGCGGCGTGTCTCGGACAGGATCATCCTGCTGAGGTTGGTGGTCGGCAGCTCTGTGCTGACGTTCCTGTCAGTCTACGCTCCACAAGTCGGCCTCAGCGACGTTGTGAAGGACCAGTTTTACGACCAGCTTCGTGCAACGGCTGCTAAGGTCCCTGCATCTGAACTCCTTGTTCCTTGTGGTGACTGGAATGGTCATGTAGGAAGGGATGGAACTGGCTTCAGGGAGGTGCATGGAGGGTATGGGCTTGGTGTGCGGAACGTGGAAGGAGAGAGAATCCTGGAGTTTGCAGTGGCCAATGATTTAGTCGTGGGAAACACATGCTTCAAGAAGCGCGAGTGCCACCTCGTCACGTATCAATCTGGTGGTATCTCCACACAGATCGATTACATTTTGTTCCGTTGTAATCTGCACAAGTTGATTGTTAATGTAAAGACCATCCCCGGCGAGGAGTGTGCCACACAACATCGCCTGCTGGTGTGCGACATCAAGGTTGACATTCCGTCACTGCCCAAGCGTAAATTTGTGCCTCGTCTGAAAATATGGAAGTTGAAGGACCCTGTGACCAGGCAGAAGTTCCGTGTGGCTTTTACACAGCGGACTGTGGACGCAAATGCGGTTACCACTGAAGAGAAATGGGCGAATTTGAAGAAGAATCTGGCCTTCTGGGTGCTACTGAAGAAGTGTGTGGTCTATCTAAGAAGCATCAGTGGAGAAAACAGACGTGGTGGTGGAATGACCTCATTGTCAGTGTGGTGGAGGAGAAACGGCGGTGCTACAAAGCTTGGAAAAAAGGCATGGGCAGCAAAGCGGCGTATGATGCAGCTAAACGTGTATCCAGGCGTGCGGTATATCATGCAAAATCCGAGGCCGAGAAAACCGTCTTTGCAAACATCGACCCCAAGTCACCTGATATCTACCGTATCGCGAATCAGATGCGCCGTGAAAATCAGGATGTTGTGGGTGAAAAGCCGGTGCGAAATGATGTTGGGAAGTTCTCTTTGACTGATGTGGAGAAGGAGATGGCATGGTTACAGCACTATAAGAGACTGCTGAACGTTGAGTTCCCATGGAACCCTGACGACCTGTCTGTGGAGGACCCAGTGGAAGGCCCTGCACTACAAATTTCCACCGAGATGGTAAAAAAGGCCATTGACAAGATGCAACCTGGTAAGGCCGCAGGCCCTTCGGGTATTGTGGCTGAAATGTTTAAGGCTGCCGGTGATGCGGGTGTTGCCCTCATTCGTGACCTAGCGGTATCAATCATACGCGATGGCAGGGTCCCTATGGATTGGGAAGAGAGCCTCATTGTTAACCTGCACAAGGGTAAGGGTGATGCTCTAGACAGGGGTAATTATCGTGGTTTAAAGCTGACTGAACAGGCCTTGAAGGTGCTGGAGAGAGTGGTGGACAATTCTATCCGGCCAACTGATATCCGCATTGAATTTTTGAAACTCAGTTTCGGCTATTTATGCGGGCCAGGGGAACTTCAGGATGTATCTTGTTGTCCGTTCAACTGCCAGGAGAATACCCTGGCCGCAACAGAAGCTTTTACTTAGCCTTTGTGGAGCCTGAAAAAGCCGCTTCCAGAGCTCCCGACGACACACTCTGCCTGCTGGCTGGGCGACTGAGGAGGCCTTTGGGACAAGGTCACGACGCTGGATCGTGAGGTTGCGTGCAGCGGCATGTACACAAACACTCGTTCAGTCGGGCCCCGGGGCACCCAGGCCCCCCCCGAGTGTCGTGTCGGTGGTGCGTTTCTCGGAGGAGTTTGAGGTAAAGGTGGGAGTCCATCAATGGCGTCGCGTGCTGAGGCCCCCTCCTGTTCATCATGCGGTTACTGGAGGCCTTTCCGCGGCCGAGTTCCGTGCTGGTCGTCCCCTGGGAAGATCTCTACGCTGATGACTTGCGTGATTATAGCAGCATTCATTGGAAGACATGCATGCAAGGCTGAGTTGTGGAAAGCTGGCATGGAGGAGGCAAGGGCCTCAGCAGTCGAATATGGGCCCCAAGCACGAAGATCCATGATTTGTGTGCTAAACTTGACCTCTTGAAGACTCCGGGAAGTACCCTGCGTTTGTGTGCCAGAAAGCGTGTTGGGATTAATTCCGTCGCTGGTCGCCCGGCTGCTGCCACAAACGAGCGTACATAAGAATGTAGTGCGCATAAAAGGCCGACTTCATGACGACGCCGGATTTCCGTTGCAAGCGCGTGCATGGGCGATGCCCGCCCATTGAATGACAGACCACTTGTTAGAGGTTGCAGATTGGCAGACAAACTGGCAGGTCTTACCCTTCCTTCTGCTACCTTTGGTGATACTCTTCTCGTGGGAGCTTGGCCTGGCTGTGATTTAGCCACTATCATTAGAGCAAAGACCCGCCCGGGGAAGTGTTCGGAAGCTGCTTCCTGTCCTGACATTCTCGACGAGATACTGTCTCAGGATCCGTGGTCCATGTGTTATGCCACCTGTGTCCGGTAGCCGCCCATGCTGCACCTGGCTGAAGCGAGACATGGGCAGCTGAAATTGTTGAACTTGCAACGCCCTCCGGCGAAAATGACAGCGCAATGATCAGCATGGATCTGCAATTGTCACAATCGAGGATTTGGCCCTTCAAAACGGAGCTGCTGGACAGATGGCGTTAATCTTGACCTTGATGTCTTATTTACGTGAGAGAAGACTCGCTGGTATGCCATGTTCAGCGCCTCCACTGGTGCCATTCAATGACAGGGGGCTGCAAGTTCGAGTTGTTGCGCTGTAAGGAGACGTGGGGAGGCGAAGATGTCTTGGAGGAGTTGTGCAAGAAGGATAGGGAACAGTGGAATCTCTCGCTGTAGGACCCCCTTGGATCGCTGCTCACATGGGAGAATAAGCGTGAGAGCTGCCAAAAACTGACCGAGCCAAGCATTCTTGGGAGTGGTGTTTCCACTGATGTGGATCTAAACCTTGAGTCCAGTATAAAATAAAGAAGACCAGAAACAACAACAACAACAACATGTGAACCCGAACCAAAGGTATTTTTTTTGTTTGGCTTATGCACCGCCATGCATTCTCGGGTACATCTATGCCTTCTAAAACCTACACACATTTCAGACACAATTGATTTATATCATTAGACTAGTAAGGAAAATATTTCGCATTTGTGCCATTGCTACATACTAGACAAGACTTTGCTTCTACATACATGAATTCACAGACGGGCCGCGCACAATGTTAATGATCTGGATATGGTGTCTGGCTTACAGTCAGCTGACCTTGGCCAGACCTCTGCTTCACAGTAGGCCGGCCTGATCTCCACACTGCCTGCCAATCCGACCTTTGAATTTCTATCACCAAAAGCACATTGATATGAGCGCTTACCAGAGTGTGTTCATATTAAACTTGACACAACATGGTTTTCTTATATATTTATAAGAGGCCACAGCTGACGCCACCGCGTTGTCAAATTTACATCGCGCCGTGGTGAAAATGTCATGTATTTACCCCGCATTGGCTCAAATAGACTTGTCAACCCAAAAATAAAATAGATCACCGATTCACACGTTGCTTCCAGCCATTATTTCAGATTGCCATGTGCGTTTACTGAGTCATGTGACGCAAGGGTCTTACACTTTCCGTTATTCGATTGGCTTAGCAGTGCCATCCTTTTATGTTCCAAACTGCTTATTACTCCTGTTGACTAATTTTCCGCTCAGAAGAAACCCATTAGCCACAATCATTGGACTATCCTATCTATGCCATATACCTTTTTACTGCTACCCCGCGCACCTCTCTGAAGATAACACTGCAACAGCATTGCTTTATCTATTTAATTCTTTATCACTTTCTCAATCTTACCTGCCAATGCCCACATTGCACTTTGTGAATATCATCTGCGTTTTTGTACAACTACACCATAGAGGATTTTACTTATGCCATGTATGACATGATCTCTATGTAGCATGCACTGCTACGCGATTGACACAAAATAACATCGTTAATTCATAATATTGCATTATATCGATAGACATATTTACAAATAATATAAATTATATATACCGCTAATATATCACATTATGGAAGTAATGTCCTTCTTAGGCCGAAACGTTATGACACAAAATTCCATAATGTAAATGAGAATTTTTTAAGTAACTTAAAGCCATTCCTGCAGAAATTTTGTGGGCCAAAAGAAATGTATAATCCCCCAGACTCCCCCAATACAAGCATAACCCGTACACATTACAATATCAAAGTAACAAAGACGTATTAATTATTTAATCATGTAATACAGGAAAATGAGCTCAGAATGAGAATTAGTACCCTCAACCTGGGGTAAATATACTACCTGCAGGGCACTGACAGTATACTTCTATTAAGACGGAGCATGCAAGTGTGTACCCCAAGGATGGAAAACAGTCTAACCAGCTAGTGGCACATTTGGAAATAAAAATTCGTTGATTCTTTTAGAAAATTATGTAAGAGCGAATTTGCATTTGTGCATCTTGGGTTTGGTGATCACAATCTACAAGTTACGTATAGGCAAATTTACATAACTTCAAGTTATCATAACACATCGTATTACTATAACAAATGTGGCATGGGTTTGGTGTCACAGATGACAATGTCTACAGAGCTGAACTGGCTTTACACTTACCCGGATCCAACACCAGCATGGACACGTTATTCAAGCTAATATGCATAGATGCGTATGATTCCTGTTTTTAAGAGTTTGATGAAGTTGAATATTGTTTTGCACACTCACATGCTGGCTGGCTGACTTTGTGGCAAAGCTCGTGTGTGTACATTCCAGCATTATACAACGAGGAATTATGGCATAACAGGTAAACATGATCTTCTCACCTTTGTAATGATTCTCATGTCTAATTTCCCTCAGCCACTGCTAGCAACTCTCTTGAAGTAATGCTTCCCTGACACGAGCGATTCATCATTAGAGGACCCCTCTCTGTGACGTCGGCAGCCTCAGCACAGACCCCACCCGTAATCTGTATACGCTGTCCAACCTACAGCAATGCAATGTACAATCCAACATGTACGGGCATTGCAGTGTGGTTACTATTACAGCTGACAATGATAAACAAAAAAGATTAAACTTAATTCGTTCATCTGGTCGAAAGAACACATTAATTAAGAAAAAAACCCAAAGCAAACCATATAATTTATGAGAATATAATAACACATGTCATATGCATTATTTCACAAAAACCGATGGCTCCAAAAACTGCACTGATGAGCACCGTTGGTACCAGCATCATAAACCCACCTTTAGTTGCTGAACGTTGGTTGTGTCACAGGGCATGAGGTGGAGAGTAATAGGCAGGCTCCCACAAACATTCCTGAATGGTGGATGAGTCACCCCCACGTCTGATGATGAATGCCTCGCAAGATCACTGTAGCAGCAAGGCAACAATAACAATTAAATCAGATAAGCATTTAGTTTAACAGAAAACGCTAATGTCAGTACACTAGGTTGGTGTCGAAGTTATGAGCATGCCTCATACCTGCTCCCTGTGATTCTTGTGTATCCTATGTCTTCTTCTGTAATCTCACGAATGGAAGTTACCTAAATTCGTAGAAGTAGATAAAATAATATAGGTTTATATATATATATATATATATATATATATATATATATATATAGTATGACACACGCAAACATGGCACGCCACACACCATATACTGTAAATGTATGTGTGTTGTGTGTCGGGTGTGTGGCGCGGGGCGTGTGTGGTGTCGTGGTGTGTGTGTGGTGCGCTGTTGTGAGCTATTGTGCGTGTGCATGTGTCGTGCCATCGGGCCACATGTTTGAGAGACAGGATGTGCTGCGTCAGAACAGAACTAGTAAATGTGTTTTCGGCTATCGCAGCTTAATGATAAGGCACTGACTGAAAATTATTTTTCCCATGCACTTACGAAGCCAACATATTTCTACCTGACAGGTGACAAAGCAAAGAGCCTGGAGGGCATTGCTGCGCAGAGTATGTTTCGCAATGTGCGTCAGCATCTTCT